TGCATTCTTAATTGTCCATAACAAACCCAAACTTTCCTGGTTTTCTTGCGCAGCTAATTAATTGACAATGTTTTCCGACTAGGGTATTTTTGAACCTTCTTGCCTTCGTGTTGGATGTTGTTACATTCTGAACATTCTGCCATTGCCCGATGTTATTTCAAAGTCATAGCCTCACTCCATCGGTCTTTCTTTAAGTTTTAAAAACCCCGAGTGGCAGTCTACGCTATAATGTCTGCGTGTTTTAAAATATAACTGATATCGAAACAAAACAGACAGATCATCTCATCCAGATGAACCTTTATTGAAATCAGGCAATGCCCTCTTTATATTCCAATTGAAATAGGCAAGAAAAATATGCATAACTAAATAAATATGGCCCTATAGCCACTTATGTGTTGGCAAACAGCTGAAATAAATTAGAAATAATAAAATAAACTGCATATAATATGTGCCTCGTAAACCTTAGGCATCAATAACCCGACACAACCTTAACCTTCAGAACATAAAAACGAGGTCAAATGGGCTAATTAAGGATATGACGTACACTTCATACTACAAGCATAGACAATGACACTCGTCTTTTCAGATGTAGGTAACAATACTAACAATAACTTTTTTTTTTTTAGTAGTTAAACCGCCACCCGCCCGAATTTAATTAAAATATAATTTTTCGTCACGTCATCCGCCCGACCCGCGGATTAACCGCGGTTGTAACCGCAATCCGCGCATCTCTAGTGTGTTCTGTTTGTGCTTCTGCTTTATTCTGCCTCTTGGTCAGGTCGTCATTGTAAATGAGAAGGTGTTCTCAACTGACTTACCTGGTAAAATATTGAATAAATAAAATAAATAAAATTAAACTTTCTGAACTTTGGGTCAAATTTCATAACAGTGTCAGTGCCGTTTTTATACAGAACTGTTAGGCTGAGGATACGCTGATTTTATAATACCTTTTATAATGAATTTTAGCATTGCCTTACTTTTGTAATGCACTTTACAGACTTTGTGCACTGTAGTTATTATTTATTCACTCCACACTCCATGGTGGTAAGATGATGTTTTAGCCACAGCTGCCCTGGGACAGGCTGTCAAAAATAAGGCTGCCAATCTGCTCCATCTGCCTGTTTCATCACCTTGCTCTCACATACCTCGTACTTAAGCACATGGAGAACATAGAAGTGGAATTGGGCCCTTAAACATTATATTAAAAGTATACAGTTGTCTTCTCTCTTACTAGTTTAAAAAAATAAAAATTCGTATCTGGGGACACAGTTTATGAAATTTTAAATACAAATTCTACCTTTATTATGTCATACTTGTTTTTTTTTCTTCAGCACAAAGAGCTGCAGCTGCTCCAGGCTCAGATGGAGAAGGACTTCTTTGAGACCAAACTGAAGCTGGAGCGAGTCTCTGGAGAAAAACAGGTTCTGATCCAGGAAAAGCGCAGCCTAGAACAAGAACGCGACGATCTGAGGCAGAGACTGAGACAGAGCTCAGAGGAATACAGACAGCTACAGGAGAGGTCAGTCCGCCCCCCAACCACGAGGTGATGGGTTCTGAATGTGCATGTCCTTCCTGTGTTACTGTGGCAGATCCTGTCTCCTCCTCTCAGTAAGAAGGTTGTGGGTTAGACTCGGACACTACTCAAGTCCTGGTTTAGTCCTGGTTCAGTCTTGGTTTTGTCCTGGTTCAGTTCTGATTTAGTCCTGATTTAGTCCCGAGTTAGTCCTGGTTTAGTCCTGGTTCAGTCTTTGTTTAGTCCTGGTTTAGTCCTGGTTCAGTCCTGATTTAGTCCTGTTTTAGGCCCTAATTAGTCCTGGTTTAGTTCTGGTTCAGTCCTGACTCTATCCTGTTTCAGTCCCGATTTTAGTTCTCATTTAGTCCTGGTTCAGTTCTCGTATATACCTGATTTAGACCTTGTTTAGTCTTGTTTCAGTCTGTTTTAGTCTTGGTTTAGTCCAAGTTTAGTTCTGACTTGGTCCTGATTTAGTTTTCGTTCAGTCCTGATTCCATCCTGTTTAAGTCCTGGTTGTGTTCTGATTTAGTCCTGGTTCAGTTTTAGTATATACATGGTTCAGTCCTGGTTTAGTCCTGGTTCAGTCCTGGTTTAGTCCTGATTTAGTTCTATTACTCCCCATGATAAGTCTTGTTTTGGTCTTGATTTAATCACCACTGTCTTCATTAAACATTTTAGAATTTGACCAAATATTTTGACATTATGTTTCCCAGTGAACAGAACTCGCGGCGCCGCGCTGTGATCTCAGAAGAGGAGAGTAAAAAGGCCAATCAGGCGCAGCGAGAGGCAGATGCTGAAAGACGATTGGCTGAAAAGGATCGTCAGGAGAGAGTATCAGAGTGTCTCCAGTGGAAAGAGAGATTCCAGGATCTAAACCTGCGAATAAGGGCCGAAGAGGAGCTACGAGCTCTCAGACAAAACAAGGCTGTAAGTAGGGTTTAGTCCAGGTTTAGACCAGGTTTAGAGGTTTAGACCGGGATTTACACCAGGGTTTAGACCAGGGTTTACACTGGATTAGATATGGGATAGTACTGGTACTTAGTCCTGGTTTAATCTTGGTTTAGTCCTGATTTTTTTCTGATAAGGACCTGGGTTAGTCCTGGTTCAGTCCTTGTTTATTCTTGATTCAGTTGTGGCTTAGTTGTGTTTAGTCCTGATTTAGTTCCTGGCTTAGTTCTGGTTAAATCCTGGTTTAGTCCTGGTTTAGTCTTGGTTTAGTCCTGGTTCAGTCCTGGCTTAGTCCTGGTTCAGTCCTGATTTGGCCCTGGCTTAGTCCTGGTTCAGTTCTGGTTCAGTCCTGGTTTAGTCCTGGTTTAGTCCTCTCTCTTTTTCAGTGCCAGGCAAATATTCAGAGTTTCTTCTTGTGTATGAGTGAGAGCGATCAGAGAGTCAAGATCCTCAGGAACCCGGACGGAACGCCGAAGAACTTTACTGTAAGACATTTTAAAACATAATTATTACTGTCAGCTGACTATACTACCAAATATCTCCTTTATAAAAGTTGTTGTAGTAGTAGTAGTAGTAGTAGTAGTTATTATCTGTATTTTATTTCCAGGAGGGAGACCCCGTGTACATCTCCGCTGAGTCCAGTCCTGATGATCCAGAGAGGAGCTCGTCCCGGTGCGTACACCAGAGGGCACTAGTGCACTACTGCTCCCCAAACTGATAAAACAGATAAATGTAAAAAAAAAAGAAGAAAAAAATGCATTAATGTATACATTCTTGATACATTCTTCTTAAGGAAATTAGAAACAAACACATGAATAAAAATACCAAATGACAGCTGGCCATAGTAAATAAAAAATAAAACTAATTAGAGAGAGAGAATAATATGGACAATTCAGGTGAGTGTGTCTACTATTGTTACTACAATATGACCCAAGTACATGTACAGAGTATGATAGGATGTCAGTTTTCATCATATATTTTTTTTTTTTACTAAAATGTAGGCCAGGGGTGTCAAACATATTATATTTTCTATTAAAATATTGGCAATTTTCTGCTGTGCTTATCATAGCAGCGTCTCCAGTGTCTCTGTACATGGCCCCTCCCACCAAAGCAGCACAAATGAAGACTTGGCTCCTTCCAAACGCTCTTAAAGGACAATTGTTTTGACTGTTGACCGTGACACCCTCATCAGCAAAATGTCCAAAATGAGAAAAGTGGAGCCGAGTGCAGGATTTTCCAAGAAAAATGGATACATATTACATATACTATTTGCTTACAAATTCGTGTTAAAACATTGTGTTGAAACTGCCTTTTTCTTAAAGTTTCAGGAGAAGATTTCTGTAATGATTTGTGTTTCTCTGCACAACTTGTTGTTATTTTTGGGGTATATATGCCATGAGTTTTCTGATCCGGCCCCTTTGGGATCAAAGTAGGTTGGATACGGCCCCCGGACCAAAATGAGTTTGACACCCCTGATGTAGGCTAAGCAGTGCATTGGTTGTTTTTATTATAGTATCCGTACCTCCTCATATTAATCTATCTTGTCAGACGCTAAGCACTGCAACAGGATTACCAGGTGCCACAGTGGGACAGCTAGTGCAAACTGGTGCTAGTGGGAGGGGCCAATGGCACAGACTGGCAGCCTCATTTTTATCAGTTTGCCCCAGGGCAGCTGTGGCTACAATAGAAGCTTACCACCGCCAAGTGTAGAGTGAAATAATAATGCACTGTGAAGAATTTCATAGACTCTATATAAGCCAATTCAATATTAGTACAGAAATTGCAAGTCTAATCACATTTTTCATTTTGTCTCTGCTCAGATCCATGGTGCGTGTGGTGGCCCCCGGCTCTGGAGGTCCGGTTCATTTTGATGAGTGTCCCCCGTTCAGTGATAGACCAGACTCTGCTCCAGCCTCACGCAGACAGGGAAGGAGGAACGTAGAGTACTTCTGGATCCCCACAAACCAGGAATAATACATGAAACCAAGAACTATCCATAAATCAGGAATAACACAGAAACCCGAGAACAGAACAGGAATAAGAACTCTCCACAGACCAAGAACAATTATCACTGGTCTGGAGGTAGAATTAAAAACCTGCTGCATCCTAAATTAAAATGGACACAAGAACTTACAGATTTAAAGGTCCTCAGATCCAACCTTGTGGCACCATTGGCTTGTTTCCATGGCGATAGAGAATTTGATTGCCTAATTTGTGAAACATTACAAGCAAAGCAAAAGTCACATAATGAAACTGTACTTTTTAAACAAAAAATATGATGTTTTTTCTCTAAACCCTGATCCTTGGATTGTTTTGAATACTTTGGACAGTATGGCTGAAGTTTAAAATGTAATGTTTCAGCATTTGTTTAATAAAAAATTACCTGCTAAGCTGTGTGCAAAACTGATAAGCAAGATCTTCAACCTTATTTACTTTACGTGTCTTGCTCAAGGACAACATGATAGATGCAAAGTTTTAACCACCAACCATTAGGCTGTAGTGTTGTCTTTTTAACTGAGTGAAGAAACGTATAAATCCATTCTGGTGCTCATGGACTTTATTGATATTAAAGCAACAGGTGCACAGTAATCATGAATATACATTACAATAGAATTCAGGATCTCCTCAGGCTCTACACCCATTTTAGGACAAAACCTCATTCTCTTAGACCTTAAAATTTAAGTTTCTCTCAAGTTTCTCTTTCCGTAATGGCCCAACAAATTTCTGACAATTCTTAAAATCTCATCTCTTTGCCATTTCTTTCACAATTGGGATCGTTTATTTAATTAATTCATTTTTTTTTCTTCTTCTCATTATCCAAGCACACAAAAACGTCAAAACAAAAAAGCCCATCTAACTAAGAGGTAGGAACACAGGCGTTAGCAAAAACCATCGTTGATTACAGATTCAAATACAGATCGAAATCGTAGCCACGTGAAGACGACACTTAATGGGTTACACGCTGAATTTCTCCATAATTTTATTCAAGATATTAAAGGGAGGGTACGGAGATATAAGTTTATTTTCAATTAGTAAAAGGCGTATTTGGATCATACACTGTTTAAAATAGTGGACCATTGGAGTGTATTAATGTATGTGTAGCTGTAGTACAAGTACAAGGTCTTCCATTTGGAGGTTTATCAAAAAGGTAAGTACTTTTGAATAGCCAAATATTGTTCTGTATTGTTATTACTGAAGCATTAAAGGCTTACTGTAGTAATATTAGTAGTAGTAGTAGCAGCAGTGAAAATCCCAAAACATAGCACTACCAAGTACAAGTTCTTTGATTTGGAGTAAATTTTGAATAGTCGAGTATTATGGAATTATTACTTAAGCACTTAAAGCTTACTGTAGTAGTATTAGTAAAAAATAGTAGCTCAAAAACTTAGCATTCCCAAGTGCAAGTTAAATCTCTTATAGTTGATAGTAGTAGTAGTTACTTGCTGATACCTAAACAATTATTTATCAATTTTCAAATTTCAATGAAGAGTGCCAATGTTTGTAGATGCCACCTTGAAAGAAAACAACTAAAAATTATCAATTAACAATTACATACAATACAAACTCATGTTTTGTGGATATTAAATCACACAAAATTTTCACTTGAATTAATATACAAATCTCTACAGCAATGTTTACATGACTTCCAAATACTGTCACATCCAATTAACATGAACAACTTTGAAGCTACTCTTTACTGACATGCTAATATTTATGAAGACATTACCAATAGAGGGCAGTAAGAAGCTCATCCTAAACGTAGATAAATGAAGACGGTAGCACTGGGTATGGCATCTGACTCAAAAGCCAATTGAATATGCAAATCAGAGCACATTAAACAGCAGAAAAATGGCTGTAGAGACTCTAGTTAACAAAGATACCTACACTACAAGACCTCACGTTTTTATCAACAAAATCCACTGGTCCACTATCCCAACAGCCTACAATCTGAAATCTTAATATTTGCATGAAAATTGGGACTCTTACTTTCTACTTTATTTAAATCTGATAAATTTAAAACTACTAAATAAATCGCCCCATGCAAAAATGACATAATTCTAGCTTTAGCATCAAAGATAAAGGTTACCAATTTAATTTCAATGGTCATAGGTCAAGGGAAGGGCTTTCAATAAGTAAAAAAAGTAATATTTGAAAAGAAATGCATGCTTTTACAAAAACAAAAAAACCCCACACATTTATCTGAGCCACTTTTAAATTCATGAAATCTACCGTCGAATACGAAGCACTATTGGTTTGTATGCAGCGCGTAGTGGTTAAGCACAAAAAGAAGAGTTTAATAAACGGAAAAGGTAGGGCGATAAAGGCGCAGAGTGCTGTAATAGTAGAGTAATAGAAGGTGGATCTCTGCCGGATCCGCGTCACTTTCTCCATGATGAGTTTCTTCTCCTGCTGTCGTGTTTTCAGTCCCCGTCGTCCTCTGACTCCTCCTCCTCTGCGGTCTCCAGCCACGTCAGCCACTGGTTCACCTGAAATATGCAAAAATATGGTGGTGCACCCTGATGAAACGTGTCGGTGCACATGTTCTTATCCGTAGTAGCCAAGATGCAATAAGGGATTTTTAACTTTTTTTTTAAAAAAAAAAAAGTCCCTTGTGTTTTTTTTGTCTAATTTTCTATACTTTTTTTTTGAGATTTTACCCTTCAGACAACTATGTCAATATTTTCAAGTTAAAAAGAAGCCTTCTCCAAAGAGCACCTATATACTATTTTGAAGTATACATGTACCCACGCAGTGCTTCTCCATACAAAATATATTTTACAAATGAAGCTAAAAATAAAAGGTGAACGATGATTAGTTAAAATAATTGCTCCAAAGGACACAAGAAAAGCTTTATTAGTCTCTGGAGTTGAAACTGGATATTGATACTTTGCAGCTGATGTCCTCAACATTCCCTGGGGGTGAGGTGCTAACTAGAGGCACAGCTCTGTCTGAAGCTCTGTTACTCAAGTTAGACTTAAAGTTTTGAGAGTTCCTAAACAGTATCGCTCAGTACTGTGAACAGTGTTGTGGTTTGTACCTGGAACAGTGCCTTCCCTTTGCCGGGAAACTCCTGAGTGATGTCCTCTTTCCAGGCCAAAAAAGCCTCCTCCTCAATGATCTCCATGTCATAGAAGTGCACAAAGTATCTGAGCAGCATGCCTGAGGAGGGAGCAGGAGCACAGGGTCAAAGGTACACAGCTTCACACAAACTAGTACACACAGACTGCAGGAGACTAGTTGATAGAAGTACTTTACCTTTGGGGAAGCCCTGTGCATTGCAGTGCACCTGCAGTGCGTACAGAGCGCTGACCTGCAGCTCCGTGTGGTCGTGGAGGAACTTCTGCATCACAGGTTTGAAGGACACAAGCAGCAGCTTCTCCTGCTCCAGCTGCTCTTTAGATGGAGGGCTCTGCTCATCGCCATCGGACACACCCAACTCCTGAGAGATGTACTGCAGGAAACTAGACACACAGAGGAGGGTCAAAGGTTAGATATTTTGACATGAGAAGCAGCCAGTCTGTAATCAGAGGGCACTTGGTAGTAACAGCAGCAGCAGTTATAGTACTACAAGTAGTAGTAGTAGTATTAGCAATAGTAAGTGGACCTGAGGAATTCTTACTAAGAGTGGGATATGTTGCAGTAGTGGTATGGTAGTAGCAGCAGTAGTAGTAATAGCAGTAGTACCTGGTCATGAGTATGTTGACGAAGCCCTTGTCCGTGTGCAGTTTGGGGGAGATGTTGTCTTTGATCCACTTGTAGATGGACTGAGGCGAGGGGTCGGCTGTGATCTGCTTCAGGAGCTCCTTCTCCAGCTTCAGCAGAGGAAACAGGAAGCTCAGGCCTTTACCCTCCAGGATCTCCAACATGCGGTCTTTATTCTGATCGATTTCTGAGCAAAGCACAAACAAACAAACAAAACAAAATACATCAGAATAAATGAGTCTTTTCAACAGACCACGTCTTTCAAAGTGGACTTATTATGCAAAAATGACCTTATAAATACATTTTATGGTTGTTTCGATCCCGATTCTTCTTTTTTCAAGATGCCATAGCTCCGATCTACCCCCGTTTTCACCGCCACAGGCATACACCCAATACTCTGCAGTTCTTTCTCCAATTTTATTTTCTTAGTCTTTTTGGTCCCAATGAAAAAAAACAACAACAATCCACTACTCGCTAGTAGCATCTGCAAGTGACATCAGCTCCCATTGTGCACCACACTTTTCTAATGTGGCATTCAGTGGACTTGTTTTAGATCAATATTGTAATTTAAAATATCCCACTTGTAACATAATGGTCCACGGGTGTCATAGATTATAACTATACAGCGGACACCTCTTGTGTGTCGTATGTTACCTGGGAGCATCTTCTGCATGTTGACCTTGCTCTGGGTGAACAGATCCGTGAGCCACTCTTTGTCCTTGAGTTTGGCCGTTTGTTGGAGGCAGAGCAGAAACAGAGGGAAGTGCGTCCCGTTCTCCAGAGGATGAGCTAGCTCTGCGACGCTAACCAGCTCTGCGATGACGGCACGAGCGGCGAACTGAGCCAAGTATGATTTCACCAGAGGGATATCCTGCTCGATCTTTGGGCACTGGTCCAGCACGCTCAGGAACGCCTAAAGGAGAGGAGAGGTTAAAATGGAAAAGTGTCAAGATTTTTTATTGGTGATGGTTAATTACTTCTGACTGGTGAATTTGGCCGGTAGTGTAATTAACATGGAAGCATTAACATTTGAGAATAGACTGAAATCTAAACTGATAAATTAAATCCAAGAATCTCATGTGCTTTATCATTATCAGTATCACTGTGAAATAGAAGCCAGATGATGTTGTCTGTACCTGCATGAAGTTCTCCGAGGACACGACGCCCTCAGCCCTCAGACTGTGGATCAGGGTGCTGGCGTGCTCCTTGTCCGGGTCAGGTCGGTCCAGAGAGCAGAGCAGGACTTTACACAGGAGCTCAGGCAGGAAGTGTTTAGGAGCCTTCATCTCTCTGAGCGCGCACACAGCTTCAGACAGGTTCTTACTGTTCAGGTACTCCGTCACTATTGCCTCCTGCAACAACACAAAGACAACAACAGTATTATCCAACAGAACAGAAAGCACAGGGAGGGCTGAGTGGGTGCATGGATAAATGTGTACAAAAACGCAACATAATAGAGAGGTTACTAAATTATTCAAACATGCACGGATGACAACTAAACTCTTCAGGCATGAACATTATAACATGGTAGAAAAAAATATCTTTGATCCCCTCTTTAAGACAAAAAATGCAAATACATTCACTACTAACCCTACGTTCTTATTATTACAGGTCAGATCTGACTTCTAACTTGGCATGGTAGTATCATACACTTGTCTCCATCAAGCTGCACTATGGAACATTAATCTCCATGAAGACAAGTAGGTGTCATTCCCTCCATAAGAAAAGTTATACACTTTAATTTAATTTTTATTATTTCTTTTGTTTGATTGATCCAGTCTCTGTTTTCATTGAATTTTAAATATATTTTAATATTCACCCTTCTTATTATAAATAATATACATTTTCCTTGCTTATAGTGCCATTGGGATGGGAAAAATAATTATTTTACTTTTATAGTAAAAGAGTGAGACTGAGTTATTGTGGAATATTATATATGACATGTATGTTGTGTGAGTGCTGGTTGGCTCACGGTCATCTTGATGAGCTCCTCTCGTGCTGGAGGAGGCTTCTTGCTGGTTTTCGGAGGTTTTTCCTGAATCGGTGGAGGGTTGGTCTTCAGTCCCAGCTGTGGAGGCTAAAATGTACAGAAATAATGAGAACTTCACTTTTAAAAAAAAGCGTCTTTTAGATAATCAAATGTATTAAATTAGTGTTTTTATATTTATATTTTGAGTGTTGACTGATAAAATGTTGAAGACTTGGCTCCAACCAAATGAGGTCAGTTAAGACAAGCAGTTATAAGGACTAACTTGGCTGTTGAAGGCAACACCCTTTCCGCCTGCACTGCAGGTTGGTTGTCCATTTATACAGTCTATAGATCTGAGCTCCATGTTCTTACCTGCCCCAGAGGAGGGGTCTGTGTGCGCGGCGGTTGGGCACTAGGGGGCATCATGTTTGGGATCTGCGGCTGGAGCTTGGGCACCTGGTTCTTGTTGAGCAGGAACGACTGTGCTGGTCTCAGGCTGATCTGAAAACACCAGAGACACAAGAACACAATAAAAAAGGGTTAATAAACATATAGAGAGCCCAAGGGAAGTGGGTAAAGTCAAGATGAAAGTGCATAGCAGAGGTTAGAACACTCATTTCACTGAAACATAGTATCATTATATTTTTACTAAAATCTTACCTTGTTTTTTGTAGGTTTTTAATTTTGGTGAAGTTAATAATTTTACTTCCATGTTGATTAGCAGATAAAACAAATCCTTAACTGTTACCTAGCAAGCAGCCCCTTTTATTTTATTAAATCAATGTTTAATAACATGGAAAGTAAAAACAGAAAATATAGCTGTATTTTTAGTGAAATAAGTGGTGGAACATGCCATATACACTTTAAAATGATGCCCTCAGGTCTCATAATCGCAGTCAGTGGACCTTCAGCCAGATTGAATAAGAACAGAATGAGAGAGAGGGAGAGAGGGAGAGAGAGAGGAGGATGGAGAGAGAGTGTGGAGTTTAGAGGAGAGAAAGAGGCAAGGTTTAAGAACAGACTGGCAGAAGGTGGGACCCTCAGAATAACGCGTCTTTTTATAATCACTGGGCATTCAACAGTAGTATTTGTGTACACAGGGATGTAACAGTACAGGGGATATCATGGTATTGTATTGATCCAGTGGATCAGTTATTGGTTAAAGGGGGAGTGGTGTCGCACTGAAAAAAGCTCTTAAGAGTGATTAGGATCCCCCTAGTATAAACGACTCACTCATAAACCGTTACATCCCTGTGTTGAGTGGAACAGAGTGACATATACTTGACTCTTACCTCGTCTGCGTTGAGCGAGCCCTTCTTGCTGAATCGTGGGGGCAGGTCTTTGGACTGAGCCTGCTGCTGGGCCAGGTGGTTCTGGTTCTGGTTCAGGAAATGCTGGTTCTGAACCTGAGCCCAAACACAAGGCGCAGTCAGAGGGTCAGATTAAGTGTTCAAAGCAAACTATGGGGCCTCAGTCACCAATTTATCAAAGTTCATGTATTATTTCTGCCGCAAGACTCATATGTAAATGAGAGCATTAAGAGCACTGGATTAAGGAGCGTCTGACAGGCATGCTGACAAAAATGCCCCACTTAGCTTAATCATTCAGCATATCTTGAGCTGAGTGTTCTTTAGTGTCTCTGTGAGAAATTACATTGGGTTCTTGCTCCACTTATAGCGTGTTTAGCTGTTTAGCACATGAGCAAACGCTTGATAAATGAGGCCCTCAGGGTAAAATACATTACACTACACATTTATCAATTGTGAGCATTCATCTGCTGGCAAGGTTGAATTTTACTAGCCTGGCCACCCAAGACACCTGGCTTTTCTAAAGCAGACTTGGATACCAGAGTTCAGATGGCCAGGCTAACTTTTCACTGCATTTTGCAGTTGTGTGCACCTGGTTGGTCTTGGTGAAAGACTTGTTGCTCAACTCATACTGGTTCGGTGGAGGAGGGACCATGCTGTGACCGTTGAACAGAGGGTTGGTGCGGTGACGTCCCATAGTTGGGGAGTATCGGTCCTGGATCACCCCCGGACCGGTGCCTATCCCACTGCCTGGACAAATGACAATAGAACAAGAGAGATTTAAAAAAGGGGCGTTATGATATTTGACTTTTGACTACATCAATATTAGCTCCATTTCATCATTGCTTTTAGCACCACTCTCTGGCCGTGAGAGAGTACTGTATTGTGTGTACTATGTACCTGGCATCTGTCCGAACATATCGGCCAGCCCACCCAGAGTCTCGCGGTCCAGTTTGAGGCGGTTGGGCATAAAGGGACTCTCCAGGAAGAAGTCCATCCTCAGACCCTGAGACATGGGAGCGGGGATGAACACACCCAAATCCTGACACACAGAAGCAAGAGAAGAGGGAGTGAGGGCAGGAACTAACTATTTATTTATAATGCAAAACATGGATTAGTAATCAGTTTAGTTATATAGATAATCCTACTATCCCATCTGGTAGTTTTCAGACAGTATGTTTCTTCTGATAGGTGGTAGGTGCAAAGTTAATTATATCAAATATATTTTGCCAAACATTTTCCAACATAATATTTTTGCAGACAGTGTCAAAGTAATAATAGTGTATTACTTTGATAATGCCCTGGCATAGCTGCGTGTTTATATGTATATATGTGCTGTTATAATGATACAAGTATATTTTTCATGTTTCTAATGGTTTGTTACTTTAACAGCGTCCTGGCGTATCTGCGTGATGGTCTTGGGCCCGTTGTCCAGAAAGGCCTTCCGTGGGACCCAGGCGTTCTCCCTCAGCTCCACCGTGTCCTGCAGCAGAAAGCGAATACGCGCCGGCAGCTCTTTGTTGTTCATCAGGGAGCGCATCCGGCCAAAGTACTGGTCCATAAGAGACTAAGGGAGGGAGCACAACGGGAGGAGAAAGAACAGATAGAAAAGAGAGATGATTAGTAAAAGAGAGGAGAGAAGAAAGGAAGATAAAGAGAGAAGAATAAGATGAAGAAAAGAGGGGGAGATGGAGAAAAGAGAGAGAAAGTTGAGAGAGCACGAGAGTGAATTTCAGAGATGGAACAGAGGAGAGAAAAAAAGAGGTAATTGTGAAAAATGTGCTTATTATCAAATGCTGAGTGTAATGATTCTGTGGAGAGCCTCATATGAAGATAAATATGGCTGTGCTCAGAGGGAGGGGCAGGCTGAACACAAGAGCTGAACTAAAGTGCAAAGTAAGACATGAAAAATTACCTTTGAAAAACATAAATTCAATTTAGACTACTGAAAACACACAAGAAACTGTAGCTGTGGACTAACCATTAATTTAAATTTAAAAAGCCCAGATTTCTTTTAATACAGTGGTCCTTGATTTAGGAGTTATTCCTCACTTACCTTATGTATTCATAGCATCCTAATTATTCACAGTGATGAGTTTATAAGCGCTTTTCACAACTGAGTGTAGACTGTAGGTCTAACTACAGGTAGCATGCCAACACGAACTTCCTGATTCTCAGACAATGAACAACTTTATAATTAGATGCAGACTGCACACAGCTGACTTAAACTGCATTAGTAGCTCTTGAAGCCAAAAGATCTGGGCTGGGGTAAGAATACATAGATGGAAACGAGTACAGGGCCTTTAATTGGTCTCTGTCTTTGTTACTGATTTTGCATTTTGAATCTCTATCAAAAATGTTATTCTGACTTCTCAGCAGAATGGTCATTATGGTTGATTCTGCATAATTAATCTAACCCCATTCACACATAGTTCCCAGAAAAGTGAGGGACGTACACATTGTAAAAACATTCAGTGAGTTTCTGGCTTTATTAAGACATAAGTCAAATTACTGGTAAATTGCCACATCAAAATTCAAAAATGGCTTTGTTCTTATATAACCCTGTTCAGGAAAACAATGTAAATTACCAACTCAGAGAGCATGTGTGAATAGGGTTTCTCTGTGTTTATAAAGGTCCTTCACCTTCACTGCACGGCATCACTCCTCAGAGGAACAGAAGAATGCCCTGGATATGCTGCTCACTAGGGGCGTACCTTGGCTTTCTCATGGTCGAGTCTGGGCCCCACGGTTCTCATTATCTGACAGAGGCACTCCAGGTCCTCGCCCATGTCTTTGAGCTGCACTCTCTTCTTCTTTTCCAGAAGCTGAAACACAAAATGGTAGAAAATTTGACATATCGTCTGGAGAGCTCAGACAATCTAGCCTTAAGAGAAAATAAGAATTCGCACCAGAGAGATGTCTTTCTTTACCCATTACAATATGAGAGCTTAGGTATCTGACTTTAATCCTGGATTGTTTTCCCACCCATAGAGTATACTGTCAACACAGCACTTTGTGATTAGGGTTAGGTAAGTCAGACCACTATTTTGTGTTATTTCTGAGGGAGATCCAGCTGCTTCACTTTTGTCTGAAAAAAACTGTAGCCTTGTTTCACTTGGATCACTTTGGGGCGGGTCGGTACCACCACATCTGACAGTCCCGAGCAGACCCTGTACAGTATTTAGCTTCCAGAGGCGGCAAGCGGAGTACTGCTCCCAGATCACTTTAACCAAGACGTGGCTCCACAATAAAACAAGATGATTGGATAAGAGAGCACAGACTCTGTTGAAAACAGGTACCTGAAGCAGTTTTGTGTTTACTGTAGGTTGAGCTTTAGCCACACTGCACAACAAACATGAAACTACTAAATGGCTTTTTGGAAATTGCTGAACTCTGCCTTTTTTTTAGTATAGTTCAGTTTTTATTTATTAAGAAAGTGATGTTCAGTTGACATCAGTGTCATGGAACAGAGAAGTGCCCCTGAACAGAGGCTTGGAGCAGAGACATAACTGGGCTGGAGGGAGCCCCTAGGTCCCAAGCAAACTGTGACAATGGACAAAGGCTAAAGGGAAGTAGAGACTGAAATACATACTATTTCCTCATTCTACGAAAAAATACTTCCTCAGATATCCCATCATTAAATAATATAACTTTACCCTCTCCACCTGTGCTGCACTTCAGTACGTACTGTTTTGATGCACTTATGAAGGATAGATTCATGGATGAGGTCAAGCTTGCCGAGTTCCCCGATGAATTTAATGTTTCCGAGCATCTTGATCTTGGCGATGGCGCGCTGCTCCTCCTCCTCCGATGTGAGGGGGTTGTCATGTTTGTCGTAGACTGCACACAAGCACAAGAAGGGGGGGACGGTGTTAAAATGTTGAAGCAAAAACATGGATCATCTTGGGGCTTTTTTTTCAAACTTTTCACACCAAGTACCAACAAAGAAAAGATTTGCTCTTCCAAATTTTCCACCAGATCTAAACCAGGACCAGGTCTGATCTAGGGATAAACCAGCTCTAAAAGTGGACTACATTATTTCCAGAGTAGTTCTAAACAAAAAAAAAAATCTCAAAAGAAGGACTTAAAAAATTGAATAAAATGAACTCTATTAGACAACGCCACAAACTGAAAAGTTGTCCAAGTAGCACCTGAAGGAGTTTGCTTACTACAGTTCGAGAAACACTGGGTTAGGGGAAATGGGTCACTAGTTACATCAGGGTTATTTGGGACAGATGAGACTTACTTTCAACATTTCTGGTGCGGTTTTCAAATTCATCTTGAAGCTTGGAAATCAGCAGTCTTCTGAAGGTCTGAAAACCGAGAGAAAATTTATTTTATTTCATCAACATCTTATGTACACAAATTTGGTCCTTGATCCAGTGGGGAAGTGGTCAATATATTTTAGATCTATATTTACAGTAAAGGATGCAATCTAGTGTCACGATATTAAAATTTCAACCTCAATTTCGATACTAAGGAATAGACTCAACACCATTTCCAATACCATGATGATAATAAAAAATAACTGTTAAGACAATGGAACGTGATTTTATGATTAAATCGTAGTACTTTCTTTTATATTATGATGCCGTCTCATATCTGTGTAATCCCTCAGTGGTCCAGGTAGGTTCCACAGTGGTCCATGGGAGTATACTAGTCTACATGCTCTTATTCTTGTTTTGATACAGCTCAAGATCATATTTTTGATACTTTGTGATTGCATTAGCATTGTCAAAAGTATCTGCAAACTATGGGTGCCTCCTCATACATATAGTGACCTCTAAAAACTTCTTCATCTTAAAATGCATGAGATTTATACATTACATTCACATTGCGCATTCAGCAGAGTTTCAGCTCGCTGGTGTAAGTGACATTTTGATAATATTTTGTTTTAAATTCATAACTGCTTTGGGTGGATATAAGCCGTCTCTTAAATTTAATGCTCCTGGAAAACTTTATGGGCACTATGGACTGAATCCTAACTGTAATCGACAGTCACAAAGGGAATTGCAATTGGCTGGATATAGATAGATTAGATAAGTGCTTTTGTATTAGATAAATCTCCAGTAAACGATTAAAAGGCCCTGTACCTGATGCACTCCCATGCATTAAAGCATAATGTGTCTTGCTGAAGTAAAGATATATGGTATAAGCAGCTCTTAAAGCCAAAATAAGTTCACCGTGTACTGTCCGCATTTAGGGAAGCACACGCCAGCATGCTAGTTGTTTTTAGCTTTACAGTGACGACATGCTGATCCTTATAAACTCATCTGTGAATAATTGGAATGCTGTGAATGCATTAGATAAGTGAGGAATAACTCTGGACCACTGCAAACCGTTTAAAATGGTGTAGTTTTCAAGTCATTTTTTCAAAAAGTCCTATATTACGCAAAATTTACTCTTGTGAGCCATTATCCATGTTATGACATGGTTACCTCCTCAAAAACATACCCATAGTTGTGTTTTGTTTCATTCACACATGTTTGAGTAACCCTTTCTTACTAGTCTGTCTACATCTCCAAAACTCAAAATGCTCTGTTCCCCCTTATGATGTCATGAAGCAGTAGTTTTCAAGTTAACAACTACTCTTTACCTTTTGTTCAATAGAGATTGGCAATTCCAGGGCTGAAATTATCAAAGTAATTGTAGAGAAGGTGTATGGAGTTTAAAAACTCAGTTCATCACTTCCTGTATTAAGAGAAGAACTTAGCCTAAATATGCAGGGTTTGTGTGTTCAACATGTGTGAAAGGAAAGAAACAGAAAGCAACTCCCGGTATGTTTTTGATTAGGAAACAACATTAGAACATAGATCAGAATACTGCATAACATGGGCCCTTTAATAGTAAGAATCCGGTATAGGGCCTTTAAATGTGTAAATATTATTGTGCGAAGAGGACTCACTGTGCTCTGCTTTTGGGATGTTTGGATCTCGGGTGAAGGGCCGTCAAAGTTTGGTGCGTCCTCGGCCAAACGCAGACATAGCTGAGCATAGAGGGAGCTGTACTTGGGCTCTTCTAGGGCTTTGTCTACAATCTACACAGATTGAGGGGAGAGAAGAGGAGAGGAGAGAGGGAGAGGTAAGAAAGAAGACAAAAAGAGGGAAGGAGGGGCAGAGGGAGAGAGAAAAGAAGCGAGAAGAGGGAGTGAGGAAAAGGAAAGAGGAGGGGGGGTCATGGGAGGTGAAGTAAGGGAGAGAAGTGAAAAATTAGAGGGGAGAAGATAGGAGGAGAGCAGGCAGAGAAAAGAGGGAGGAGAGGGTAAAAGAGAGGGAGGGGTGGGGGAGGGAGAAGAGAGGGAAGGAGTAGGAGATAGATGAGAAAAGAGGAGATGGGGAGGAGAAAGTGAGTAACAGATGAGGGAGAAAAGATGACGGAGGAAAGACGAGAGGAATACAAGATGAGAAACAGAAGAGAGGAAGAAAGAAGGGAGCAAGGGGAGAAAAGAGATGGAGAAAGGGGAGTGACAGAGGTTAGAGAAGAGATAGAGAGAAATGGATGAAGAGGATGGGGGAGAGTCAGTTAAACATGTCCAAATAATGTCTAAATAAACCGGTGACATTTGCTTAAAAACTGCAGCGGGCTAAAGAACTGAACTCACCAGCAAGATGATTCCTTTAAGGACGAGTTTTGAGTCTACGCCCACGTTCAGCAGCTCAAGGCATAGCTTGTCAAACTTCTCCGGCGTGAGTTTGTTGAGTATGCTGCAAAGAGGAGACAAATAAGTGAGTCATATTTTACATTTAACCGCCACAGATCCGGGTGTTCAAGTGCAACTTTGTCTTCATTAAAAGCATTTTTAACACAGTTTTAACTTGTAACTGAACTAGCAATGCTCCATTTGTTATGAACACTTGGATTCTCAAGGTGAGTCACTTTAAGTGTTGTGTGTGTCAATACTGATTCTGAGATCATGGTGATAATGAAAATACACTCTTTAGACAATATCATGTAATTCATTAATGGCATTAATTATAAGGACTTTGTTCCATCCACATTCATGCTTTTGGCACTTTTTGACATAAAATAGCTAACATCTACTCACTGCAGCTGGAACTGTTATTGTGTACAAGTGTATATTTTGTATATTCTGTCAAGTCTATTTTATACACGCTCTTATTTTAATCATAGTTTTTATATTCTACTATACTACATTCTATAGACAGTTTGCACGATCTCTCTCTGTCTGGGTGGGTTCCCACAAGGTACTCCTGTTTCTCCCATCAACCCTTGCACCATAGGTCAAATCCTCCAGCTAAGATAGTCCTAACCAAACTTAGCAACAAGATCATGGAAAGTGGTTCCCTAAGCACTGCGCTGTGGTGCTCACTGCTCCTGAGTACATGCCCCAGTGGCATTGAAGGATGGTCAAATGTAGAGGACAAATATCCCCATGGGGACAATAATGTACCTTAACCTATCATTATTCATTGGTTTATCACACCATACAGTCAAAAGAACATTCGTAAGCACAAAAGTGTTTATGTGTTGCTTCTTACCCCCTCACTTTCCTGAAGATTGCATCGTGTCTCTCTTTCTCATTGCTGGAGTTGACATCTCGTCTAGTGCTTCGTGAAGGAACCCATCTCTGAACGCTTTGCCCTGGGGTTTTCCCCAGGAACTCGCTGCGCACACACAGAGACAAACAGCAGGAGGTTAGACTGTGAACTGTTTACTGTTTACAAGAGAGAAAATGTCAGGTTTAAAACAGTAATGTGATTTAGAGGAGAATTTGGGTTTAATTTAAAGGAACATGAATAACTTATATTACCTGCCACAACACCTTTTGAAGAGTGACATCTCTTTACAGAAAATATCACAATTAACTACAATTAGAACTTTTTTGCCACTGACAAGAAATTAGGATAATCACATAATAAACCCTTTTAAATGAATATAATAAAAGGCTCCTGAACTGCGAACACTAGTACTAAGTTTTGTACTAAGTGAGTCACAGACTGAGAAGTTAGTGCTAAGAATAGGCACCATAAATACACCATAAATATGGAGCCACAAAAATACTGTTCAGTATTTGTTTAATGAACAAAGGGTTGATATAGTTATGTTCACAACAGGCCAACAAAATTCCTATCCACTGACAAAATTAGGGGGGCTTTGTTCTTCCTTTAATGTCTTAACTTTATCAACTTACAGATACCATTTGGAGGACTTCTGACCATTAAAGTGACAGCAATGTTTCTAATTATTTCTTAAGACCTATGGATACACAGCGTCTTTTAAATGAATGTACAGGATTGTTGATAATGGGGCCACTCTTTCATAGTGGAGTGTTGAAGTGTCTCTTGGGTGTTCATGGACAAACTGCACTTGCCTATGTTTTGCAAATTATAAAAAATATGGACTCAGAGCCAAACAAACCTGTTGCCGACAGTCTTGGGATAGTGCTGAGGTGCACCCCTACCACCTCCTCCCCCCGAAGAAGCACTGTGCACACACACAGAAACAAGCATCATATATAGTGTTTTATTCTGTTACACAACATGAAAGGTGTATGTAACTAGATCAGTGCTCCTCAATGCAAGGACCTTAAACCACAGGGGGAATGACTGGGGGCCAACAAACTCTTTCAGTTTCATCCATATACAGTTAGATACCAGTTACATTCAATTCCTTCCCCCATCCAAACAGATACAATATTTGTTTTAAACTGTTAATAAACACTGACAGTCCCAATTTTTCATCATTCTGAAACCCATACATATAGATTAAACATGTAAAGCAACTATGTTTATTGTACCTTGGATATTTTTCAATAAATATGTTCTTATTTAATAATAAAAAATGCTAAAATGAGCTGTGTTTCTTTTTTTAATGAAAGATAATACAAAAACAGTATATTGTTACATTCTCACTTAGAGCTATGAATGCACCTGTTTCCTAGTAAATTACATGCATTTAAGTTGTTCAGATAATGATTAACACTTATCAAATAGTCAAGAATATTTCAGTAGTCGATGAATTATACTTATTTTGATTAATCATGGCAGTCCTAGTCAGATAGAGCTGAAAAATATCTTAAAATTTGACCTGACGTTTTCCTCTCCAGTCATCCCAGGGCCTGTTCTGTCCCAGCCCCTCCCTGAGTTTTTAAAGAACAGTTACACAAAAGGACAAGAAGAATGTGGCAGCCATTTTAAATCGAACCACACTGTGAACCGGACGTCCCCGGGTCCCAGAGGAAAAAGGAGCATGTCACGAAAATGTAGAGCCAGATCATATCAGAGCTACAGGCAACAGCAGGAACATAAGACGCTAAACTACACTTGTTGACAGAGCATCTTAACAAAAATTGCAAGATTAATCTCAACTAAACTGAAATCACAATTGAGTTGGCGCAATTATCTAAATAAATGCAGGCTTTGGAATTTGATGTCCACTGCATAAAACTAAACATACTTATACTTGTTTTACAGCTCAGCATTTCAGTATCACTCAAATGTCAATGCACCTGAAGTTCTTCACAATATGCACTCAGAAGAGAATCCAATTTCTGAAAACACATATGGCAAATATAAATGCAATACTTCTCTTTTTTTTTTTTTTTTTTTTTTTAAAGTTACAATTAGTTACATTATTTCTTCAAAATTGAGCAACCCTACTGTAATGAATACATGGCAAAGGCTACTTATTAATGAGATGCAATACCCAAATATATTGTTTCTATGGGTCTTGTTCTGTTTCTGCTAACCCTGTAATTTAGACCTCTATACACATTCAGAAATGCATGGAATTAATTACTGTAATCATCTATGACTGAAATTTGAATGCCCTTTAAAAGTGTGTATTGTGGTTGTATTGTACCTGAAACGAGAAGCACCCCCTTCTGCAATCACACTCTCCACTTTGGCGGCTTGACAACGAAGAATCCCTAAAAGAATAAGAGTAATAGGGAGGGATGGGGAAAACGGTTCTGTACAGAGAGCAGAGAAAAAAAAAGAATATTAGTGCATTAAAATAGCAGCAACATGTGCGTAAACATTGGATAGCAGCAGCTCAGTTGGTAGAGCATTCCAAACCCTACATAGGCATCATTTTGGTCTGGTAAAGTGCAATAAATTACACTGAGCTTGGTTATACTGACTAAACATTAACAATGGTTTTGAATATAAGATAAACATATCCAGGCAATATTTGGTCAGTCCAAAAGAGATATGCCAAAAAAAAAAATGTCTTCAAATGTATTAGTTGAGGATTAAGTACCAAATGTGACATGACTGCAGTATTTCTCATTATCAACCACATGCTGTCTTGTATATGTATATCTTCAGTACAATATTACCCATGTTTTGACAATCTAACTCCACTTTGTGCCATATGCATATACCAGCGAGACAAATTACACACCATTTGGCTATATCTATAAAAACAGTGGTGGAATTATTTCTTCTAAAAATACTAACACATGAAAAGGGGAAAAAAACAAACAAAGATCTTAAACCAAAAAGTTTTCTAGACTGACCTAATGACCTATATATGTGAGTAACATTTGCCCTGTGATTTGGCATAGATAAAATTTTATTCAGAAATATTCAAACTCATCATAATTTCATAGAAACATTTACTAATATATTTCATTTCATAATGTTGTATTTTTTGTGTCATGTGTTATTCTTCAAGCCACAAATTATAGGGCTGTAACATAGAAAAATGTATTACATAACATTTTGCTTTTGTCAAAACAGTGTCTAACCCAATGACCCACATATGACTTCATCTGTCAAAACACAGAATTACCTCTGCGCTTTCATTCCAATTGAGAACATAACCTAGATTGTAGCTATAATTAATATGAAAGAATTAACTAAATAATTACTGACAGCGTGATAAATAAGTTATTTCAATAATTTCCAATCCATCAAGATTTGAGCCTATTCAGTTGTTGACGACTGACGCACCAATGGTTGAATAACATCACCTCTTTGTTATACGCTTGCATTAAACGCGATTTTGTAGTTTAATTTGCACGAAACCACGACTTTAGTGCCCTGAAAACGTTATAAATAACATATTTTGTGGACGTAGAACAAGTTATATCAGATGTCAATAGCTTAAAAGCCGTAAAATTGTCGTTTTTGTTCGTCAACAACAAAGCCAAGGTGCGGTTCTTTAGCCTCACATGCTAATCATTTGATGCTAAACCCCATCGTTCAATGCTCAAGTTTACATAATTTATTTTGCAACAGTGACAATGATGGTTTAGCAAATAGAAACAATCTAAAGTGGGGTATTGTTGCCAAGCTGAAAAAACTAATATTTGATGGAGAATTTTTGTACAATCGGTTGAAAAGAGCACACGACAATGCGGTGGAGGAGGGCTGTGGCATGGCTGTCCGTCTGTGCCATTTTAAAATTAAGCTAGCGTTAATGGACATCTTTGCCATTTTAACCTGTTTATCAGTGATATATTTTGGTTTAACAATATAACACACGTCTTAGAGACTATACCAGTCTTTGTCCGTTACAAAACAGTCGTAATTAAGATTGATGGCTGTGACGAATAGAAGCCCGGCGCAGTTTGTCCGAGTGCAGTTGCCGTACGCGAGGAGACTGGCCGGCTCACGCATGCGCAGAAGCACCTTCGAAACGGATCTGGCAGCTGCATGTAAAATCTAGCGACGCAAATTGGGCAGGGGCAGTCTCCATCCTCCTTGCTCCCATCACAGCCTCGCCTGCATTTATAACCAAGATATCAGCGCTGCATCAATCTTATCATACACCATGTATATGTATAATGTAAGCGTTGGTTGTGTCGTTTCATAGAAATGACAATTTTACAGTAGCAACGCTTTCGGAAAAATGAACACGAGCTCACACCGGGTGTTGTGGAGACTTCTACCCGCTTTGTGTGCACTCAAAGCGGTTGTCAGTCCCAGTAGAACAGTGTGAAGCAAACAGAGACTTAGCTAGACATTTTTCTAAAAGCATTTGGCTTGCATAAGCTATAGAGGCAAATTTTATAATTATTATCCCTATATTCTCTATAAAGTGCTAAAAAGATATGGATTTTAAGTTTTAAATTTTTTAATCATAATTATGCGTTTTGCTAGTTTGCTTTGGAGGTACATCAGCATGTACTATTATTAATGGGACATTTTATACTTGTACATAAGCAAATATAAATAGAAAACAACGCCATGATTCATGTTCAAGGGCTATGATTCTGTTGAACATGATTCATGGCAATCTCAGCATCTATAAAACTTATGACCTTTCAAGACAGAAAGACAAAAATTGATCCAGCGTTTAAGCTTAGAGTGAATCAAGGTCATGTCTAATGGAATAGACTGGGTCCATTAGCCAAGAATTACCAAACAACAACGACGACTCGCTGATAAACAAAAGAGAAAGACCTCACGTAACCCCCAATTAATGAGGCTATTTTTGGTTTTATTCCAGCATGCATTATACTCTCCAGTCATTTATACCCAAGTCAATTATGACATTTTTTGAGCTTGCATTATGAATCAGATGACTTGTCTCTTTCAAAGGACACCATAGTATAAAAATCTAAAAAATATTCAAAGGATGGTGAAGCAAATCCTAAATGGGTGTAAAATTAGGTTTACCTTTATACTCTTTAATCACTTTAAATTGCTTGCATTGTTGATCTATCTCTTCTTGGCCTAACTTTTATGAAAAATATCACTAATATGATAATAAATGTGTTACCTCATTTTGAGCACTCAGATCATAGCAGTTATAAAACAACACATTATTTAACGTGAATTGCATAAGGTGAAGATCAATGTATTTTCTCTGAAGAAACCAGGTTCATATGCAAAAATCATAAACCTGTTTTTAGTCAAAAACATGCAGCATTTTACATCTGTCAAAAATCCAACAACTTAACAAAACTATGCATGAAATAATGTGCTATTTTAAGCATTGAGCATCTCTAAAGCTATTGTTATGAGCGGTGCAAACTGTGACAAAGCTACCCCGCTAACAGAAGCAGAAAACCACACAGAACACGGCCATAAATCCCATTTTTGGAGCTAATATGCTACAGTTAGCTTCGGTGTTAGCATTGAGGCTAAGTGGCCGCCATTTTGAATAAAACCGGTCAGAAGGAAAGTCCGCTTACCTTCACCAAAGCTACTTCAGTTTTAGGTTGTTTTTTGACCACCACGGGAGAAATGGAGAAGGAGAAATGGGATTGATGGTTTGGTTGGGGGTGTCGGGTGAGCTATATGCACTGAATGAGACGGATTATTGTCCAGATTTGTCCCGTTTGGCGTGCTTGCACTAGCGGACAGAAGCTGCTGCTGGAGCTTGGGGCAGAGATGTCGCTGGTTCGCATTGGTTACGCACTGTGTTGCTATGACGCCTTTAACCAATCATAAACAAGGGGCCATGAAGGGACCGGCGAAAAGCCCAGGCATTTCGCTCAGGGCAAGGGGTTCGGTGGAAAAGAAAATCTAAAGACATAAAGAAATAAATAATAAGATTGGCGAATGGTGCGTGTTCATTACAGTGTAACACATCTGATGTTTGTGCCGCTAGTGTTGATCTATTGATGGGTTTTAGCTTCCATTTTGAGGACTGTTCACAATTCAAAATATATATTTTCTTTTTAAGTAGTTGCTATAGCAACGGTGCTAATGTCATATTCCCGGATTGGGCCAGTTTCCCAATTGATTAAACTGTACATTGCCGTGAAATATTTCAAAGATAAATTAACTAATGCTCAAGCCGCCATGCTAAGAATTCACTGTATTACAATAAAGAACTGCATTTTAATATTTATTATAGCTGCCCTCATATTGGAGTGTAGTTATAGATCTACTAGGCCTACTACTACTATCTGCCGTAATCATAATAAATCACACAATGTGCAGGATGGGGTAAGCCACAGCTTGCCCTGGGGTAGACTGACGGAAGCAAGGCTGCCAATCTGCGCCAATGGCCACTCTGACTACAACCACCCATTCACTGGACCTTTACACTTAGGTAAGATGAGTGACTGTCTTGCTGCCCAAAGACACAACAACAGCATGCTCTGTTTGGAAGCCCAGAGCAGGGCACTGGCCTTTGTGTTTTGCTTTGCTCTGCTTTAGACAGCTTTAGACAACTTCAGATAAATAGCATTTTCATAGGTTAGGTCTGTGGTCCAAATTAAATTATTAGCAGAAATAAACTTATTATAGCCATATTTTAAACCCCAATCTGAAACAATCGTGTTTCTAAACACAACTGTTACCAGTTTAGTCACAATCAACGTTAACACTACAAAAATTATTGTTCGGATGAAATGCCTAGAATTTTGAGCATCATTCCTATCGTCCAATCAGATTCAGTGCTCACCAACAACAACCCGCCTTTCTCAGATGATTGGCAGGTCATGTAACATTTGCAGTGCAGGAAGAATCTACTTAACTCTAATGGAGATAAACTACTTTGAATTGAGTTGATAATAAAGAGTTTAATTATAGTTTTGATAGTTGAACACAAAAAGACTTATAATGATGTGGAAAAGATTGTTTTAAACAGTCTGAAAAATGTAGGTCAAACACATTCCAATTATATTTTAACAAATCATGGCTTTTTATGTCCTCAGGATTTATGGATATCAAATTTTCTGAAACCTTCTCAGACTTGACTAAATCCAAGTTTGCATGGTATTTAATCAACAGTTTTAAGATAAGTCTCTGCTGTTTTGTTTGTTTGTTTGTTTGTTTTTTTGTCCATTTTGTCCACCATTTTTCTCCTTTGAGTTAGTCCTTGTTTAGATTAGACCTGTTTTAGGTCTTGCTTAGACCTGACATAGTCCTGTTATAGACCTGGTGTTTAAAATTAAAATTTTTGGTGTGAAAAACCCATTTCACTTCCTGTTTACTGGCAACATTTTGAGAACTTTCCACTACACTGTATTCAAAAGATATAATGTTTAGTTTAAAATTGTTAAGTGGTATAGCAACAGTTCTCAGTGTTTATCATTACAATGTGTAATTCTGTTGTCCCATTTATTTGAACACAATGTATCTTATAGTGCTGATATATTGTATAAGCAGCTCTTGTGGTCAAAGTAAGCCTGCTGTGTAGAATCAGGATGTACGCATTAGCATGCTAGTTATTGTTACATTTACTGTCACGTCAAAACTCGACTCTGGTCTCTAAAAGTTGTGAAAAGTGCTTATAAACTTAAATTGAACTAGTTCGGTTTTCCACCTTTTTAAGACAGTAGAAATCAGGTGAAGGACCTTTAAGATTTACCTCAGACTGCCAGGATTACGTTTTATTTATTTAAATTATTGATTTTAAAAATGTGTTACCAGACCACTCT